TGGCGCAGGGTAGCAGGAAGCTCTCTGCACACTCACCGGACCTGGGGTAGGACTGGGTAACAGATGTATCTTAAACTATTCACTCTTGGCTTTTTTCACGGCAATACTAGGAATACCAACTGAAGTTTTTACTATCAAAAGGCTAGTTAATGTTTTAGTACTGAGCTATATCCTCAGCCCTGAAATTTCTGACCAAATATTATTTCTTTGCTGACACTATTTCACCACTTTGCAGGTGTGCAGATCAGTGAAAAGACCTCTGTTGCTGTCACTGAATTGCTTGGGAGCGTGCGCTTCGAAAACATGGATGATGTCTACAGAGAAGGAATTTCTTATTTTGGAACTGTACGCTTGACCCTCCCCCTCACCCGAAAAAATTACTTATCTTTGTTTTATTTTCATGTATTGTAGATTACTCTTTGATAATTTCTGGATTCTTTTTTCCTACGTTCACAGTGTATTTTATTGACATTGTTTCCAATACACTAAAAATGTTCTAGCTGAAGGAAATTTAGAAAGTTATACCAGCTTTTAAATATATATATCCAATATATACTTAATAGAACATCTTTTTTGTTCATTGGTATTGAAGTTACTTTCAGATTACAATTATGAAAAAACTTTCTCTGACGAAATAGGAAATGCTGGCATTTCAAGAAAATTGACACCCTTTTTTTTGGTACAGCTCAAATTTTATGGTCCCAGCGATGTGCCGCTGACAAGCAAGCTGCTGCAGTTGAAGCTCAATGGCAAGGTGGTGGGGAACTACACTACAGACGAGAATGGCGAGGCTCAGTTTTCCATCGACACTTCGGACCTAGATGATTCTATGCTCTTCCTGAAAGTAAGACACCGAAGGGTAGAAAAGGACTCTCCAGGGCCTCAAAGCCTGTCACTCGGGGATTTTAAATACTGACAATTCTTAAAAAGTAATATATTTCATACAATTTATTTGGACAGATAATTCTCTTTTCTGCTGCTTAACTAGACCTTTGTGGTTAAAAGTTTTTTAACTACAAGATTCTGTTGGGATTCCAATGTAGAGGAAAGAAATGGAGGAGCTTAAATCCTGTTTTCTGACGACGGTCTAAAAGAAAAAAAAAAAAAAAAGATCCACCCTTTTCCTTTTATCATGAGTCTGATAGACTGTTCAGGCAATTAAGATCAGTTTTACGTAGTTAAGCGGAGAATACTATTATTATTTCACTTCCAATTAACAGTGAAATATCACAAGGTAGGATTTCTCCTTCCTGAGCTGAGACGGGAACTTTCGTGCTGTGTGAGCAGCTGCCCTTGGAGGTCTTCGGGACGCTAAGATCCTCTCTCTCTCTTTCATCATGTCAGGCCAGATTCCTTCAGCCCAAGAGCTGCGGTCTTCCAGGCTGGATGACGCCTCACTACTCGGACGCCTCCTTCGTAGTCTCACGCTTTTACTCCCGGACCAACAGCTTCCTGAAGATCGCGCCCGAATCGAAGCCGCTGAAATGTGACCAAGAGAAGATCATCACTGTGTATTACTCCCTAAACCACGAAGCATACACGGATGCCTCGAATGCGAGCTTCTTCTACTTGGTAAATCTTAGCAGGTTCTTGCACTCCTGTCTGTGTCTGCCGAGCACAGCGCAGGGTAGAGTGAACGGTGCTTTATTTACGTGAATCTGAGCGTCGTCCTACTCCTGCTAGCGAATGCTGTAATAACAAGGAAATAGACAAACATGTAACACTGTCTCGAATAATTTAACTTCCCTAAAATGGAAATCTTGTTCATTGGTCTGGTTTTTCAAGCAATCATAAATCATCTCAAGTATTTAAAATCTTATATGATGGAAAAACTTTAAGCAGAGACTAGAAAATAAAGTGGAGGACTCATTTCGGTATGTAGTAAAAGGAAATGGCAGTATTGGCTCTGTCCACTTTGTGTTCTCAAGGCATATGGAAGAGTGAGAAACAGACTTGGAAACGACGACCTTCCTAGTTCAAATCATCCCTGCTCTCTCTTGATCGTGCAAATTAGACTGTCTTGTTTAAGGTCTCTTAAACCTTCACTTTCTTAGATGTATATTTGTAATTGCAAATAATGACATCTCCTGGGCTAAGCATCATGTGTCAGGGATGGATAAAGGGCCTCGTGTGTTCGCTAGTTTAATGAGACTTACGGCTATCTCATTCTACAAATATCCCATTTTACAGGTTTGACAAATAGGTTTTGAAGATCCTGTTTTTACTGAGGCAAAAGGTGGAACAGAGTGCTTTAAATGGCAAACTCAAAAAGCAGATGGAAACAGAGGGGAAGCCAAGTGATCGGGACAACAGCTGCTACCTTGCCCCAGGCATCACACCCTGATCCATAATGGGATCTCAGTCCATTGCGGTCCCTTTCTCTTTTCTTTTACAGATGTGCAAAGTTCACTTTCACTATTCAACGCAGAAAGCTGCCTTATGTTATGGAACAGAATGAACAAAAGTGAATTCATTATGTAGTGATAATATATCATATGGCATTAGATAACATAACTCAAACAAAATTTTTCTTTGTTTTGTACAGGTGATGGGGAAAGGCACTATCCTCCTCAATGGACAAAAGAAACTCAGAAACAAAGGTGTTTATAATACATTCATTTGTAAATATATACTTTATGTTCAAGTTTTTCTTTTCCAAGGAGATATAAAGTGTAGAAGTTAGAGTACTTATTTCAATTTGTGAGTAAAGGCAGTCATTACAGTGGCTTGAGGGAAGCTACTAAATATTTTGAAAAGATATCTTTCTTCCATTGTGAGGTCACCACTACATTACAGATAAATGCTGTTTACAACCTTTCTATTGTTATATAAATCATGAAATATTTATTTGTGTATGCAATTCTCACTATTTATCTGCCTTTAAAGCAAAGTACAATGTGTTCTTTCTATCCTCAAGCCAATTCCCTTTAGGTGAGCACACCCAGTGATGTAAGACGTTGTTGATATGGTGTCTGCAATCTATTTCCCCAGCCTGGACCGGGAATTTCTCATTGCCAGTCAACATCAGTGCCGACCTGGCTCCTACGGCTGTCCTGTTTGTCTACACCATTCACCCCAGTGGGGAAATCATTGCCGATGGTGTCAAATTCCAGACTGAAAAGTGTTTTAAAAACAAGGTGACGTTTTTTCTACATCTATACTATGCAGGTAGAGAAGGGTGAGCAGTTTTCTCCCTGCTTCCCCCTTCATACATTTCCACTATAATCATGAGGTGGAATCTCACCAAAAAATGCTGGTGTGATGAAATTATTAGGGGGTGAAATCCTACCAAGTAGACTGAACTGTCCTTGGCATTAGTGCTGATCCTGAGACCACAGCAGAATGGTGAAGGAGATGCTCCTGCAAGAAGAGCCGAGCTATGAAATTGGGAATGAGATCTAAAAACCAAAACTCATGACACAATTATATAGTTTGGTGCTGTAAAGCTAAAATATATTTCAACTCCTGAAATTATTTAGAAGCTTCTTAAATACTCTAAAGATTAGTTATAAATAAATCTAAAAACTTCTGAATAATTTCAGAACCTGAAGAAGCATTAACAAAGAACATATTTACCAAGTAAAGGTGAACATGCAGGAGAAATATCATATGAAAATCTATCTGGATTTAGTTGGAAAAGGTTGAGTTTATTCAGATTATACCCATATAAAATTGTTTCTACACTTGCTCATTTTCTTCTGGGCTTCAGGTTAGCCTCCAGTTCTCTAAGGAACAGCAGCTGCCTGGTTCCAATACCACTCTCTATCTTCATGCTGCACCTGATTCCTTCTGTGGCCTTCGAGCAGTGGATAAAAGTGTCCTTCTACTGCAAATGGAGCAGCAGCTGTCTGCCGAAAGCGTAAGCCTTGCAGTTTTCTCCTGTCTGCCTAACCCCAAGTTTTACCCTTCTTATGATGTTTGTACTGGAGAAATCATCTGTTGAAAATATCCACTATTTGTTTTCATTATTTCTTCGTGGGTTATATACTTAATGATCTGTCTTGGCTGACCCAGCACTGGTAACACAGAAGTTCTGCTGATAATTGTAACAGATTAAGAATTTTCCAGGGGATGGGGTGATGGCTCAGTGGAATAAGCACTTCCCTGGCAAGTGCAATGGCCTGAGTTCAAGCCCTGGTTCCATAAAAAATAAAAAGAAAAGAAAAAAGAATTTTCCAGTATGATTTGTCTAAAAAATCATAGGCATAATCATAGATATAGATGTCTAGAGTTAAAAAGAAATTTCTATGTTGGAGGATGTGCTTAGAGAGAGTTTAAAGGTATTATTTGATATCAGAGATAGAATTTTCCTGAACATTTATGTGGCTAAGGCACAGGGCAATGGTAGAGCCTTTACCTAGCATGTATGAAGCCCTGGGTTGACTTTCTAACACCAACACATTAATAAATCAAAAGATATCTATATTGGCAAAACCAGAAGTTCACATCAAAAAAATATTTTAAGTACACAATTGTTGGACTTTTCCCTAATTTTTTTTTTTTTTTTTGTTTTTTTTTTTTTTTTTTGTACCAGGGATTGAACTCAAGACCTTGCAGTTGTAGGCAGTCACTTGTGCCACTAAGCTGTCTTCCCGGTCCCATTACCTAATATTTTAAGTCAGAAAAATTATTCAACATTTTCCCTTTTTTATACA